AAGCTGACATATAGGCTACATATACAGTATTTTCTAAAGTCAATTTACTCACAATGTATTCACTCAACTGAGCCTGTTTAGTTGAACCCAACAGTGATGAACTCACAGGAATTGAAGAAAGACTCAGATGAAGATCTTTTTCAATAGCCACCCAGTGGGGGTGATATTTAATGTCTACACAAACCACCGCTGTGTCTTGTTCTTTCTCCGTTTGGAACTCTTTCTGAGCAAGAACATTCTGACCTGAAGACATCAAACGTTCTGACCTTTGGTCAGTTCAGAGTTGACCAAAGGTTCTGGCAGAAAACCAATGACAAAAGACCAGGAATCAAACCAGCAAACTGAAGTGGTTTTTGCTCTTAGCTTTCCGTTCCTCTCTGGCACCATATGGCCTAAAGACACTGTTCTATTTTTTTAACTGAAAATTGTCTTGTGCTACGACGTGCCGACCAATGCTGTCAGTAATGTTTCCAGACTAATTAGCAGCAGGTGACGAGCCTCCGCTGCACCTCTGACCTCTGGGCTGCCATTCACTTGACCATAACATTAACTAATTAGCTAACACTCTACAGTTAAGGTCATTCTGTCATTCTACACTGACCTGAGAATTACAGTTAGCTTTAAGCATTTTTTTGGTTTAAAATTTAAGTCAGTTAAGGCAGCAGAACAGAAACAACTTTGACCCCCCCCCCCCCCCGGGTGAGCTGTGGTAGGGTGAGGGTCATGTGACACTGTGTCATCATTCATTCATTCAAACCTGCAGGTGGTTGTGAAAATTACACGTTAGGCTAGCCTTTCCACAACGGCCACAGAAACATTTACTGCTTTTTGTTTGAAGTTGGTTATTAAGAACCATTGGCTGTTGTTCTAAATTCAGCCACTAGGGGGGAGTGAATTTTTCACCTCAATCTGTTTCTCCCTGGTCCATTATTGAATAAAAGTTGATAATGAAAATAAAACAGAAAAACACAATGTTATTATAACTCTACCCTCCACATTTTTATAAAGAACAAAACAACTATTTTTTTTTTGTGTTAAAACCAGCTTCTCCAAGGAAAGTCCATCCCAAAACTTGGATCCCTGGACCAGATTGAAGCCGGCAGTGGAGACAGCGAGGGTCGTTACAGCGGAGACTGTGATGACGAGGACGGCTGTGCCGGTTCAGGCGGCGGTGAGGTGAAGGGAAAAACCTCCAGAGTCTCCAAAAGTAAGGCTCATCGTTATTTCTTGACATTTGACCTTGACCTTGAATATACTATAAATATAAATATATATACTATATTTTTTTTGTGTTAAAACCAGCTTCTCCAAGGAAAGTCCATCCCAAAACTTGGATCCCTGGACCAGATTGAAGCCGGCAGTGGAGACAGCGAGGGTCGTTACAGCGGAGACTGTGATGATGAGGACGGCTGTGCCGGTTCAGGCGGCGGTGAGGTGAAGGGAAAAACCTCCAGAGTCTCCAAAAGTAAGGCTCATCGTTATTTCTTGACATTTGACCTTGACCTTGAAGGAGACATGATATGACAAATGGACTGTGTCTCCCGTAACTATAATCTGTAATCCTCCTCAAAAGGAGCCGTTCTCACTGTGTGACCTCATGAATCAGATGATTGTTTTGATCCCACCCCCAACATTCAATGCCCTCTGGGAGTGGTACTTTTTCTTTGAAGTGAAGTAATAATAATAATAATAATAATAATAATAAAGTCCCTTATTCCTCCCACAATGGGGAAATTTACAGTGCAAGTCTTCCGTCACCCGACACAGGCTGCCACAGGAGGCGCCATTAAGGATATGTGGTTCATGCCGTTGTAATACTTCAGGTGGAGATTTGTTTTTCGAGACCTGCAGATTATTTTTACTGATGAAAAATTTAAGAATTAACAGATTTAGTCACCAACTGTCTGTTTGCCGGAACAGTTTGGACGAGAAGTCTGCGAACAAACCTGCCAAAAAAGTGAGGGCGAAGACTGTCCCCGTTGATCACTGACGAACATTCTGGTCCGTCCTTGGCGTTCTTCTTCTTCTTCTTCTTCTTCTTCTTCTTCTGGCTCTGACTCTGACTCTGGAGCTGACCCATACAGTTGGGCCACAGTTTGTTTTCTGTCCATGATTTCACTCTCACCAACCAATAGTTGCCATGGATACTCTGGTCTTTCCCCATGACAGTGGTCGGCAGATTAAGATGTGGCTCATGGTTATTTAAAGGTAAAGGCACATTAAGATTTTTTTATTAGACCAAAATATGTTACATTTTTACCATCTATAAAAATGAAGAGTCCAGGATGAGTCGACCGGAACATTTGTACCTCAGGGAGTTGACAAGTCTTTTCTAATAAATAGGGACTAATGTTGGGAACTGATTAAATATGAATTCAGTAGTAGCTTAATGACTGTGTTGTTGTCGGGCCAATGCTAACATTCTGTTAGCGCCCTGATCTCTCTCTTAGTTCGGTTGCCGTCCCTTTGTTTTTTTCTGTGACCTTTTCCTTGAGTTTTCATTGAGACCTGGAAGGTTTTCATCAGACAAGATCACATTTTATTTTGAAAGAAATGAAGAATTCGTTATTCACAGATAATCTATAAATAGATTCTGTCCAAACGTTACCATTGTTAATGTGATCTGATAATCACAGGGTAACTCACTATTCTTTTTGTTTATAATCCACATCACTGCACTTTCATAAATATAAGCATGATGTTTTACTGGTGAAGACCGTTGGAGATCGGTTCTGCTGCGCTCTGCTCTTATTTTAATAGGACTTCCTCCAGTCTCAGTTTTATGACAACCATAATAATAGTCATTAAAGGTAATAGTTGCTATGGGGATATCATTGCAACAATGGAAATTATTTAAATTATTGCTCCCCAGCGGCTCAGTAGCCCCTGCTGAATTACCCCGGTGGAGTTTTCCTCCCCGCTTTGTTACACTTCTCCCTCTGTCCTCTCCTCAGCCATGCTCTCTATCAAACATGCTAACAACCTGATTAATCAGCTCCCTGTTTTTGCCCATGGCGACAGTGGGGGGGGGGTCGTCCAAACATGGCGCTCCATCCTTGTAAATGTTTCCTCTCCTGCTCATCAGTCTGGCTCCGGGCTGCAGCCTCTTCAGCTCCGGAAGCTTCTTTACACTTGTTCTACTGAGACCTGACATTTATCAGCTATTATACACTTCACCTGCCAGCACCCCCGACCCCCCCGGCCTCCCCACTCCTTGTCAGAGGGCAGATCTGCACATCTGCTGCGTTCCTGACCCTCTGCCTGTCGTGACCTCTGTCCAGCATCGTCCCCCTGCTGGTTATAGCTCACCTAAACAGAGTGCCCCCCCCCTCAGGGGCCCCTCCTCTGAGTGAGACCTCTGGTCAGGCCCTGCAGGGCTCTGCAGACCTTTACCTTTGATTGATTCTTTTACTAATTCAGGGAATCGGTACCAGGATTACGTAGTTGAACCCCTGAGCCAGGCTTTCTCTACACTTTATATATGGTGTGTTTACAGACATTTGGTTCTCAGGTTTGTTTGACACATGTTTTTGAAATATAAATATAGATACAGTAAAATATATGTTTATTATAATTATCAACAGTGAAGGGTGTCTTTGATAACATGTAACCTGTAACATGCTGATGTTGAACTTATTCTAATCTTCATCGTTTACCTGTAACATGAACATCAATCATCCATCATCCATCCATCCATCCATAGGTATTTTGATGTTGAACTTATTCTAATCTTCATCTAAGAAACTCTAAGATTTTTTTTATTTCTCCTCTATCTTATTGTCAAGTAGTACCACGGTCCAAAATCAGCCAGTTATAGTTCTATTTTGATGTTGAACTTATTCTAATCTTCATCTAAGAATCTTGATTTATTTTTTTTATTTCTTCTCTGTCTTATTGTCAAGTAGTACCAAAATCGGTCCAAAATCAGCCAGTTATAGTTCTGGCCATTATGTTATTCAGCGTTGGTCAACAGCGTAGCATCGCTGCCGTCTTCTAACCAGCAGGTGTTGTTTTATTGACCGAAGGTCGTCGTCATTGAACAGAAACAGATATTCTACAGTTATGACACTGACAGAATACAAACTCTGTAGCAGTGAGTCACACTGACAGACCAACAGGGGGCCCACTGTCCCCTGAATCACTCTTCACCATCACCGTTACCAAACACGTCACATGACCCTTTAGGTGCTCTCCTTGTCAGGAACTCATTATAGGAACACATTAGTGACTAGTCAGTGCTTATGCCCTGATTATGACTAACACTGACTGGTGTCTGTGGTGGAGCGAGCGCGTAGTCGTGAGTCAGTCAGCCAATTAGTCGGCCTAGGCACAGGAAATTTCATGAAAGAAAGAAAGCGTGGTATGAAAGGAAGGAGTCTTATTTTTGGCCACGCAGAAAATGTGTGTTAACAGGCGTGTTGTGATTTAGAAAAAAACAAACAGCATCATATTCCAGCTGAATTGGAGCTGGAATGAACCAGGAACAGGTCATAGAAATGTTTGACGTCTTGATTCTTTGCCAAACCAATACGCTCATTTATATTTGGGGGGTTTTTTCTGTCAACGCTCGACGTCTTTATTTAGTCCTTTTTGAATAAGACCTTTGTGCATTTTAAGAATTCTTGTCAAGCAAACGGCTCCAAATGACGTCCCAGTGGACAGATGAGGAGTTTACACCTACACCAGCGTTGTTCTAGTTTGTTTTTGATAGTTCTACACAGTTGAAGTGACACGTTGTTTTACTAGAAAGACAGTAGTACTACAGTACTACAGTCAGACAGACCGTGGTTATCGCAGGACACTACAGTAGTACTACAGTCAGACAGACCGTGGTTAATGTTATCTCCTTCCTTTGTGTCTTTGATGTTCATCAACACAGCGTGGACACGATATCTCAGTATGAGGAGAAAATAAATCGTTACCAACGTAACACTGACAGCAGTGGTCGGATTCAAGGGATTATCCTTATTAGGCAGTAATACTGCAGTATTACTGAGTATTGTATTGTAAGAATAGGAAACTGTGCCAGGCTTTGATTCTTGAAAAAAAGAACTAGGCATAATGTGTAATGATTTCTTCTGCCTTAGTGCTTTTTATTTCACTACATTTAAATTACAATAATTGGCCAAATGATATTATTCGCCTATATTAGCATTATTATATCAGAAAGAATCGTTATTGTTTTTTCCTCCAATAATGAAAACCTGATAACACAAAGCCTTGTTTTTGCCAAATTTGCTGGAATTGATCGGACGGTCCTGAGACATTTACCTCAGTTCTGGGGGCAAACGGCTGCATATATGGGTATTAGTTGATATCGGCATCAGAAAGTGTTTGGCAAAAAGTTAATATTGGATATCCCTAAAAATAATAATAATAATAATAAATTGAGATTTTTTTAATACCAGGCATCACTGAACCACCGGGGGTTGAACGGACAGGTTGGTCTCCTGGACCAGAACTCTCTAGTTTACACAGAGAAAGGAAGACAACTGGAGCTGGATCTGGATCTGACCTGGACAGAGGTGAAGGTACTCAGACTTTTCCTGGAGAGTTTTGGGAGAAACCGGAAAAGAAGCAAAGCTCAGAGGGTCTGGACCCTGACTGCAGGAAAGAACATATATATTTGACAAAGGAGGTTTGCGGTGGATCTGGCAACCTGGAGCAAAACAATGATGACCTCGAAGAAGATTCATGGATGTAGTGAGAGAGTACATGAAGATAAATGGCTTCAAAGTAGCTGAGGCAGGAGTTAGAGTACAAACCCTGGCAGACGTACAGCTGTGGTGACCCTTGAAGGAGCAGAGGAAGAAGAACAGGAATATATATAACATGAGCGACGGTGACAGGAAGTTAAAGTCAGAGGAAGCGCTAGGCTACGTTATGTCGTTAAATCTTTCATTTCATTAAATATAACGTACGGGAGCAGACGGTTGTTTCTGAAAAGGTTACAGTTTTACCAACGTCTCCTGATACGTCATGAATTGGATACAAATCCGTGGTAATTTGCATCGTTTGAAATAAAAAAGTGATTCGCGCATCAGGGTGTAAGGAGTAGGCGGGGCTTGACTTTGAAAATACTAAACTCAGGGCAAAGGTTATTAATAAAAACGTGTACAAAGTCGTTTTATGCTCTGTGGAGCAGTAATAAGTAATATCATCATCGGCGTACGTGGAAATGTCAAACAGCTCCTGGTTATTTTTCTC